AGCTAGTTAAGAAGCCTAAGGGCCAGAAAATTGTGGGTTGTAAATGGGTCTTCAAGAAGAAGGAAGGAATTCCAAAGGTGAAAGATGCGAGATACAAGGCACGCTTAGTGGCGAAGGGTTATACATAGAGAGAAGGGGTGGACTTCAATGAAGTGTTTTCTCCTGTGATGAAGCATAGCTCAATCCGGGTGTTACTTGTTATGGTTGCTTTGTATGACTTGGAGCTTGAGCAACTTGATGTCAAGACTGCTTTCTTGCATGGTGAGTTGGAAGAGCAGATTTATATGCATCAACCTGAGGCATAGTTGTTAAAGGCTCAAGGCGCACTAAGGCGCCAAAGGCCTTCTGGAGCCTAAGTGCAAGGCGTAGTATAAGGCGCGAGCCTGATCAAAGTAAGGCGCGTGTGTATAATAATGCATATTTAAACATATGTTATATGTATTCATAATGAAGTACTAATTGCAGCTAATGAAAGTAGTGAATCATAAATTTATGAATTTTACTAAATATTTCATAAGGTTAAACAATATGACATATGATATAGAACCTTTTAATTTAGTGGTCATTAAGTAAAAATGAAAATGATATGAATAAATGATTAAAAAATACAAGGCGCCTTTTTTAAGCCTGAGGCCTACTAAAAAGCGTGAGCCTGAGGGCTTTATGTGAGCCTGATTGAAGGGGCCTGGCCTGTAGTAGGTTGAGGCGCTCTAACTGAGCCTTGACGAGCCTGGGGCTTTTTTGGAGCCTAGGCGCACTTTTACCTACTATGGCCTAAGGGGTTTGAGATTATGGGAAAGGAAGATCATGTTTGCCTACTGAAGAAGTCCTTATATGGGCTGAAGCAATCTCCTAGACAGTGGTACAAGCGATTTGACACCTTTATGGTTGGGAATGGCTACTGTAGGATTAAGTTTGACAGTTGTGTGTATCACAAGAAGCGTTCAGATGGTTCATATTTGTACTTCTTGTTGTATGTTGATGACATGTTGATAGCTTGCAAGAACATGTCTAAAATCAACATGTTGAAGGCTCAGCTTAGTGGTGAATTTGAGATGAAAGATCTTAGTGCTGCAAAGAGGATATTGGGAATGGAAATTCACAAGGACAGAGGAGCGGGCATATTGTATTTGTCACAGAAGAAATACATTGGGTAGGTGCTAAAACGCTTCGGTATGCAGGCATCAAAACCTGTGAATACTCTATTGGCTACCCACTTTAGACTTTCAACACGATTGTCACCACAGACCGAGGAGGAGGTGGAGCACGTCTCATGTTCCTTATGCTAGTGCAGTTGGTAGCCTTATGTATGCTATGGTGTGCACTAGGCCAAACATTTCACATACAGTTAGTGTAGTGAGCAGATACATGGATAGACCTGGGAAGCTCCATTGACAAGCTGTGAAGTGGATATTACGATACTTGCAAGGCATTGCAGATGTTGGGTTAGTCTATGACAGAGGCAACGACACGTGTTTGAGTGTTGCTGGATATGTTGATTCGGGTTATACTGGTGATCTTGATAGGAGGAGGTCTATGTTTTCACTCTTTGCGGGAGTGTCGTCAGTTGGAAGGCGACTTTGCAGCCATGTTGATTCGGGTTATACTGGAGATCTTGATAGGAGGAGGTCTATGTTTTCACTCTTTGTGGGAGTGTCGTCAGTTGGAAGGCGACTTTGCAGCCCATAGTTGCATTGTCTACTATTGAGGCTGAGTAAATGGCAGCTACAGAGGCAGTGAAGGAAGTTATATGGTTGAGAGGCTTGGTTGATGATTTGGGCTTGCAACAGGATGATTTAACTGTGTTTTGCGACAGCCAGAGTGCCATACATTTGATTAAAAATCAGATGTTCCATGAGAGGACCAAGCACATTAATGTCTGGTTTCACTTCATCAGAGATGCGGTTGCACAGGGTACTATTGCAGTGAGGAAGATTGGCCAGCAGATAATTCGGCAGATATGATGACTAAGGTCATTCCTACACTCAAGTTCAGACACTGTCTGGACTTGATTGGTACATGCAGTCGCTGAGGCCCTTAGGGGCATGTGGAGGCGACGAAAGGAGTAGCTGGATGGAATTTGAGCCAAAGTGGAGATTGTTGGAAATTGTGTCTCAAATTCCTATTCTAATTAGGATTATATTTTAGAGTTGTATTCTATTAGGTAATTTGTTATTTGGCAAGTCTTGGCCTCTAAGGAATTGTAATCCTTGTCAAACAAGGAATTATGTTTGTAACTCTATAAATAGGTACATATGTTGTGGGTTGAGACTTAAGAGATTAAGGGAGAGAGACTCTGGAATTCATACAGAAACAGAGTGAGGAGCAGAAATCTTGTAAACTCCGATTTTACACATAGTGAAAACTTTCACCAGATCCCAACCGTGGACGTAGGTTGTTGCCGAACCACGTACAAATCTTTGAGTTCTTTATGTGGTGTGTTTACTTTTCTGTCGTGATTCTTTATTCAACTTGGGTTCGTTGCGTTTGTCATAACATTAACGCATGGAGGGGATGCCACGTGAGAAGCAACGTACGCAACTAATGAAGGGCAGTACCACATTGCGTTTGGTGGTGCATTTTGTAGGAGAGAAATAGCAGAATGTTCGAAGGGAATGAGTCGTCCATGGCAACGCTAAACTTCACATTATTCGCTCTATCTTTAGTTACGTGAAGAGGAGTTCTTGCTCCTCTTCTGCTGACTTAGTTAATCTATTGGACTCTTTGGGTCCTTAGATCCCGATTCCGCTTTTGTAAGGGACGCGTTTCCCTTTTAAACGTTTTTTTTTTTATCGATTATTACTTAACAAAAAAAAAAAAAAAGGCAAATTATTAAGCAAACCCTAAAACATAAAAATACCAATGTAACCCTAAATTCAAACATTATCAAAATAACAATAAGCATAAATAAAACCCTAAATCACTAAAATCCCTAATTTTATTTCTCTTTCCCTCTTCTCCAAAAGTAATGTTGAAGCATGTGCAACTCATGTATTCGAATCATATCCTGTTCCCCATCAATTCTCCTCAGCTGAGAAGAACTCTTCTCCGAAGAGTAAAGCGGGTCAAAATAACCTGGATCAAAGTGGCAAGACTCGTCTGAAGATGTAAAAGCACAAGCTAACACAAGAGGCTCAAAGGTACCTCGGTTAGGCATCAAATACTCCACATTAAAAATTGGACAAATACAATTATCTATTGACAAGTCAAATAAATATGCATTAGGTCCAAATTTATTAGCAGTGTGGAAATGTTGAATGCCTTGGGCTTCAAGTGAATTGAAGGAGCTATGAGGATAAGGTGGTTGTGGTGAACAAATTATAAGATAATCACCTTCCAAAAATTTATGATTCCTATGATGAGTATATGCAATAAATTTATAATTTATATTACTCAAAACAATTTGTGATCTTATATCGACATAAAGCTCATGGACATACTCAACAAAGGAATCAGAGATTTTAAATGAACAATGATGTGGAGGCGGCAAAATAAAGTCAATGGGTTGGCGAAGGAAAATCCCATATATAATCCCAAAAGAGTAGCCAAGTATTATATGCAAACTCCATGACAGATAACAAAAAATCCAAAGTGTTTAAGGGAACCCTTACAAGATAATTAACCAACTTTCCTAGACCATGATTAACAACCTCAATTTTTATGTCAATTTGAGGACAAAATGCAAAGGAAAATTTCAAACTAGTGCCCAAAGATGCCCAAAGTATATTCCAAAATTGACTTTTGTATTTAACATCCCTATCTGAAACAATGGAAGTGTGTGTGTCATTAATGCTAACATCCTCTACATGATTATCTAAAATGGGATGATGTGGGACATTAGATTTAGGTGGTTGACATTTAAACATATTTTCAGATGGAACCTGAAAAATTCCTTTTGCCATTTTTCTTATTAACATGAGTTCATCTTCACAAGGCTGAAGAGAGGGCCTATATTGTGCCTTAGAGCCCCTTTCTAATGGCTTTGTGGGATTTAAATTGATATTTTTGCCATTATATTTGAAGCTATAGGTGTTCTCTCTACAACAATGAGTTACACTTAAATCACAAATCCATGGGTGACCAAGTACTATATGGGCTACTTCCGTAGGTAGGACGCCACACCATATTTTATCGAAATAGTCACCCATTTGAATAGGGACCAAACATCTTTCTAAGACTGTCAAAGAAGTCTCACTTACCCAGTCTATCTTATATGGATGCGGGTGAGGCTCGGGTTGAAGTCTCATTCTAAGAACACCTGATTTAGACACAGCATTTATCGAACTTCCTTTGTCAATGATGATTTGACAAACTTTTTCCCTACATTTAAGAAATGTGCAAAATATGCTGGCATGCTTTCAATCATTTTGCCCTAGAAGAAGAGATGTAATGCTTAGGCTTCTGGATGATTTTGGACTAAAGAAAATGTCATGGTGGTGGTCCATGGACTTGACATGATTATTCCTAGTGTCATGTCTAAGTTTTGAAGAAACAGATCTGTCACCCCTAGTATATATATATATATATATATGCCAAGTTCTCACGGAGTTGGATGAGTGAATCATTTATATCACTCATGACATGCTCTAATCTGTGGATTGTCAATTCCATTGAGAGTGGGGCCTTGGACACATCTTAAATGACCATGGTGATCTCAAGGGGACAACAATGTGGGTATGACATTTGTTAGGAAAGAATTGCCAATATATGATCCAAATTAAATTAAGTAAACCAAATTATGAATTATTGTAATGCTCGCACAAGAACAGAAATACAAATAAGGATGAATATGACAAACTAGTTCACGAGAACTGATGCAAAAGGTGGAAAGGTGGAATTTGGGTGCAATATGGGTGATGGTAAAGCTAGAGAGTGGTGTAGCACAAGATTATTCAACAAGCAAATGATGATTTTATGTTTAAGCCGAGACCTTTTGCAAATTTATAGACTTCCAAATAAACAAAAGTACTAGTTTCAATTTTCAAGTGAAGTGTGTGTACCTTTACCAAAGTATGAAGTAGCTACCCCAACAAAGATGGCTCCAAAGTTGCTCCAAAGACTGAAGTATGGACAGATTCTACTCTTTTCTGGTTCTGAAACTGAGCTGGGCTTGCAATTGTATCCAAACAGGGCTGAACTGATTTAAATAGCTGCTGGGCTCTGATCTGGTTTTGGGTTAAAATACCAGGTTGGATTGAACTTGGGTTGGGCCAAAAATAATCAGTTTGGATCCAGACCCTGGGCTGCTGCCTTTTTTTTTTTTTGTTAGTCCAGTTGTAAGTTGAATCTTTTTGTAAATACCCCAAATCTGGACTTTCCAAACCTTGGATAATCTAAAGTTGACTTTCCAAAATCAGTAGCGCTGAAATTTTGGTGACAATATTGCAATAATCCAAAGTTGACTTTCCAAAATCAGTGGCGCTGAAATTTTGGTGCCAATAACGATCTCAAAGATTGCAATAATCCAAAGTTGACTTTCCAAAATGGCGAAGATGAGCTAAATTAAATTATACTTCCCAAAATCAAACACTGAATTCTGACCGGCAGCAATGATCAGAAAGTCTCGGTGATGATGAGGCGACGAAATTGACGGCAAACTCTGTTGAAGACTGTTTGGTGATCGACTGGCAGGAAGATGCGACAATCGTTGGCAATGAGAAATCCAACGATGATGCAAAGTTGCAAACCAGACAACAAGAAATGCCGGCGACAAGGGAAAACTCCAGCAACGACTATCTGTGATGTTTTCGAACGATGTGGCTATTGAAGTACCAAACTGATACAGACACGATTCCGGTGACAACTAGTTCCCCTAATGATCTTCTTCTCTTTTCATCTTTTTTTCCTGTTTTTGTTAGGCGAATGGTTGAGGTTTGGGTTTCCGGCGATGGTTGCTTCTCTGATTTCAGGTTTTGGCGAGATTGGGTTTTGAGTCTTCGATTGATGGTTTTGGTCTGGTGGGGTAAGGGTGGCGGTTGGTGGTTTGGTGTCAATCTATCGGATGATGGGTTTGGGGTTGTGAGTTGATGAACAGTAATGTATGGGTATTGTTAGGGTATGGGTAGGCTGATGTTTTGTTCCTGGTTCACAGTACAGTGGGTTGGCTGTAATTGGTTGTATGATGAAATGTGTGTTTTGGTTTGTGAACAGAATGCTAGGACCACTTAGATCTGTGGTTAGATTCTTTTGCTTTAACTCGGATCTTTCGCTCTGAACTAAACTTGATCGTTTTGCTCTAATATCAATTGACGCAGGACAAGTAACCAGAAAGAAAGAAAGGGATGAGAAAATAGAAGAATAGATAGACTAGAAGAAGGGGATGAGAAAATAGACGAAAGGGGGTGAGAACAGAGTGAATAGATAGGCAGGATAGATTGAATGGGTGAGAAAAGCAAGAACATAAATGAGAGAAACAATAGAATACAGAGAGAGACTCAAAGAAAACGATAATCAATATTATCCAAAATTTGAGTTCTCAAATTACAAAGGACCCTTTAAATAAGCAAATTATAAAGCAAACCCTAAAACATAAAAATGCCAAAGTAACCCTAAACTTCAAACATTATCAAAATAACAGTAAGCATAAATAAAACCCTAAATCACTAAAATCCCCAATTTTAGTTCTCTTTCCCTCTTCTCCAAAAGTAATGTTGAAGCATGTGCAACTCATGTATTCGAATCATATCCCGTTCCCCATCATTTACACAAAACATATCAAATAAAAAACATCAACCTAATTCAAAAAATTTACACGATGCGCATGGCATCAAGAATTTATCAATGAATAAAAGCACGTCATAAGGAATTAATTAAGAAAAGGACGTTTGGAAAATTTGACACAAGCTAAACTAAGAAGTTCAGATAAATCGATCTAACACGAGCTAAGCTGAGAAAAATCAGAACATGCATATAAAAGAAAGTGGTCTTGTGACTTATCAGAAAAATAAATAAATAAATAAAATAAAAAATGTGGTCTTGTGGTTTGGAAAAAAAATTAAATTAAGAAACAAATTATTGATTTCAGTGCTAGAAAGTACGGACACACCTAAAAGGGCAAAGAATCCATGTCGGACACGCGCCAGACATGCCCCGACACGTGTCGGACATGCCAAAATACATGTCCGAATATTTTATATTCTTTCGAATATTCGGACACGCTTCTGACACGCCATGGATACGTGTCCAACACGCGTGTCCCACTCTTTGGGGATTTTTAAGAAAGTTTTAGAACAATGTTGAGTTGGAGTGTAAATATTAGGAGTTGTTTAATTACATAATTACTTTAAAACTTATTGTTTCATAAAACAACTTTATATTCAAACAATTAGATATTTATTCTTATATTTTAGTTCAAAGGTTCGAACCCTTGCACGATCATCTTTGACTCTCTTGTTGTCCCACCAACCAAGCTTCGCTACCGGTGAATGGTCTCTCTATCTCTTTCTCCTCTTTTTTCTCTTATTATTCGTCCTCCTCCTTTCTTTCTTCTTGTTCTTCACAAACCCTAAATACTTCTTCTTTTCCTTTCATAATAAATTTCTTTTTGTCTCTCTTTCCTTTTTCCTCTATTCCCCGCGAACTTTTTTTCTCTTCTATGGATTCTTACCTTTATTTTTAACTAAGGCCTAATTCATTTTTTAAAAAAAAAACCGTAATCCTCTTTGTCTCTTTGTTTTTTTTTTTTTTTTTTTCTCTTTCTTAACCCTCTTTCTATCATTCTTTCTTAAAAACACAAATTTTTTTTTCATTATAAGATTGTAAAAAATAATATTACTCTTAATTTCTTAAAGTACAACATCATATATATAGAAAATATATTTTTTATTTGTCGTGTCCTCGCTGTATCCGTGTCCTAATTGTTTAGGATTTGTCATGTCGCCGTATCCGTGTCATGTTGTTTCCGTGTTCCGTATCCGTGCTTCTTAGCTTAAGGGTAACAAATATGAAAAGATCGAGAAAAATGACCAATTAAGCAATGTATTCACAAAACATAAAGATAAAATAAAAATGCACATACTAATATATATAGGTTTTGATATTGTGTATATCAGATATGATGCATTGGAAATTAGTTGATATAAATTGAGGTTTAATAGTATGTATATAAAGTATGGAAGATATATTTAAATAGGTTTGAGGCCACGTGTTACGAGAGTTCTGTCACCATCTAGGCTATTATTATGTGGGTTTGGTTTAGGGGACCAGATTTCAAACATTCAAAATTAAACACTTAATTTAGGGTACTTAACAAAATCTTTTAAAATTTTGAGGGGCCAGATTTCAAATATTCAAAACTCAAGACTAAATTAGAGGCACTTAACAAAATCATTTAATAGTCCCTTCATTGGTCCGCCCCTGTTGAGTATGAGTAACAGTGATCATAGTTCCCCCAGCCAGCCTGAACTCCACAAGGAATAAACTTTTTTTTTTATTTATTTGTAACCTCACACCTAAGAAACCTAGGTTGTCAAGATTTATTCTGATTTCAATCAGTATTATAAGAGAGCATCAAAACTCACTTCTATCACTCAATCACCTAAACTTTGTACATGAATCAGATGAATAGAGTAACTTCATATAACAACATTTGGATTTATTAAAAGATAAATAAACCTCTCTCTCTCTCCCTCTCTCTCTCTCTCTCTCTCTCACTCTCATACACAAACTGACACACACACACACAAAAGTAACATTGCTTCTCTCAATGTTTAGATGTTGTAATCAATCCCCCTTGTAGTGCTGTAGTAGTTCCTTCAGATTTTATTAATATATTAATCATACACTAATAGCTACACTATATATTCATCGTCTTGTAAAAAATTCATCTTAATCAACTCACTCATGCTGTAATAGCGCAGACATGAGTCTCCTTCCCATGGTAGTGAAATAATGATCCTAACCCAATTGAATGGTAAAACAAGATTCTGGTAACCAACTCCAAATGGATGATAGTGTGGCTACTAGAGTATAATTCTGTAATACACCAATGCTCTAGTTTTTAATTTCTGTTTTGCATCAATTCAACAATTCCATCATATTTCATCTTTAATAGTAAACGCAATCAATTTAAACCCTATATCTCGACTACTCGTACTAAGTCAGCAATCTTACAACAAATTAGTCATCAAATCACTAAGTACAACTACGTAATTAAGAAAATAAAAAAGAAAACAATTTCACATGCCCCAAAATACACAGTAATTAAGTGAAATTCTACCTCTCCTAAGCAGATCCACCACTTACAACAGCTTTCCAACAAAATCGCACAATTAAAACCTAAAATTCAGTACAAAATCAGCAAAAAATGCAAAGTACAAGAGAAAGATAACACAGTTTAATCAATCAAAACCCATATCTAAACAACAATAAGTTTTACGAAATTCGAAGTTTAGAATACTTACAAATAGAGAGATGAGACAGATTACGAATAACAGGAATCTGTTCTGGCGTTATGTAGGTAGAAGACAGAGAGTGTTGCAGATATATACAGTGAAGATATATACAGTGAGAGTATTGCAGATATATATGTGTGTATATATGGATATATATCTAAGCATATGCATAATATCAGCTACTATTTCAGATGACGGACGTGAGGGGTGTTTCGTTTTCGCCATTAAAGAAAGACATAGACTTCAGCGTGTGCGACTCTGACACACTGTGTATGCTCAATTTTGTCCATTCCTTGACAAGCACAAAAAGAAAGGGAGAAAATAAGGTATTTTTTTTTTATTTTGTCAAGAGGGGTAACTCATAATTTTTTATGATTCCGTCAAAATAAATAATTTATTGTATGCTCAATTTTGTCCATTCCTTGATAAGTACAAAAAGAAAGGGAGAAAATTATTGCTTAATTTATGGGTTTTTTTTTTAAGGTATTTTTTTTTAATTTTGTCAAAAGGGGTAACTCATAATTTTTTATGATTCCGTCAAAATAAATAATTTATTTAATAAATTATTTATAGATAATTTATTCAAAATTTATTCAATATAATTTATTCAAAATTTTCAATAAAGATATTTTTTTAGGATTTTTTTTCCTATCAAAATAGATTTTTTTTTTTAATGGGTACTCTTTTTTTTTCATTGAGTTAAAAGAAGCAATTTATTTGACACACATACATATATATATATATATATATATATATATATATATATATATTTTGGATTTTTTTTTTTGGATCCTATAAAAAAATAATTCAATTTTTTGTATTTTTAGTCTTTGTCAAAAGAGAACCATTAAATATTAGAATTAAAGAGAAAAAATTTAAAACGGTATTTGTACTATTTAAAAAGTAATAACTATTTATTTATAAAGTTAATATTAAAATTGTCATTTCTATTAAATTTATACTGAATATGTGAAAGAGTGACAACTGAATATTGTCTTCCTTAATTTATTATCGAATCATAACGCATTGTAATGTAGTTCATCTAAATGTATTCGGTAATTACGGGTATCTTTATAATCAAATTGATTAATTTTTAAATATTTTTATCATTATAGTTAAATGTCTCTATCATAATTTATTAGTGAATATTTTTTCTCTTAATAATTGTACCACCCATCAACCTCGATCGTGATCTCTAATGGAACATTCCATTTCATGTCTTCTTCGATTGAACACAAGAAGAAAAGTTAAAATAAATTTCTTGATAAAGGAATTCGTGGTTGGTGGCATAGCCAACGACGTGGCAGCTGTCCCCTTTACTCAAAGAAATTTACATCAATTTGGTATGTATATTTTATTGTAATGTTATATATGCACTCTCTAAATTTGTAAAATTATTTTTAACTCTTAAAAGCCCAAATACAAAAGTCTTGCTTTACATAATTATAAGAAAAATGATAAATAGGCCCACTAGTTTAGCTGATTTGTTAAACCGCAACATAGCCACACATCAAAAGCGTCACTACTTCTTGCATTCTTTTCTTTTTCCTCCTCCTCTTTACTATCTTTCAGCTTTATTCTAACTAAGATTTCATCTCCGGTCTCCAACTCTCTCTCTCTCTAGTGGTGGAGCCACATTAGGACCAGTGGGGGCAAGCAATTGCCCCATTATTTGTATTCTTTATACATAAGTTTTGATAATTGTAAAAGTGCCCCCACTAAACTTTAAAAATATTCATAAAAGGCCTTAAGAAAAACTTGCAAAAGTCAAAAAGATCCCTCATTTTATAACTCATTTGCCTAACAAGTTTTTCAAAATTCAAAAAAGACCTTTGTTTAAGAATCAATATTTAGAAAAGACTCTTCATTTGTCATTGAAAATCTATTGTTTGTATTTTCTATTTGTAAATTTTGACATTTATAGAAGTTACCTAGATTGAGCTCCTAAAAAATTCACATAAAACCCTATAAAAAAAACATCCAAAATTATCGAAGACCTCTCATTTTCAAACTAATTTGCCCAACAAATTTTTCAAAATTCAAAAAGACCTACGTTTTTTCTCCTCCCACAGGCTTCGCAAAATTTTAAGAATCAAAATTCAGAAAAAAAAAAAAAAAAAAAAAAAAAAAAAAAAAAAAACCCTTCTGTTGCTGTTTATTATTTTGGTTCGAAATTTCTTTTTGCAATAGCATCGCATGGCTTTGTTGGGAAATGGGATTTCAATTATGCATAGTGTTTTTCATTATATGAACTTATATGATGATGATGATGATGATATATATATATATATATATATATATATATATATATATATATATATAATTATATATATTGATATTATAATTCTCACCAAGAGACTTTAGAAAATCTCAAATTCTCACCCAGCTTGCTCTTTGTAATACCCCTATTTTTAAAAGAATAGTCTCGGCATTTTAATTATTGTTTTATTGCATTTTAAATTGCTTATTTGGTTATTTGCATATTTCTTTAATTCTTGTTTTGTTTTTACTTGAATTGTTTGTTTAATTGTTATTTAATTGAATTGTTTGTTTAATGGTTTATTTAATTGATTTATTTGTTTAATTGTTTATAATTAATTGAGTTTTGTTTTAGTTATTTATTTTTCTATAATATACGCTTATGTGTGGATAATTAGTTGTTTTTAATTATTAATGTAAAACTAAGGTTTATTCTTTTATATCACGTTTTGGCTGACTAGGGTTTAGTTAGGTTTGCCGTCTCTTTTCTAACTAGAATTAGGTTTAGAGAAGCCTATAAATACATCATTAGGGGTCTGCCAAGGGGTTTTAGAACCCTATTCCCGTAACAGTGGAGGCAAAGAGAGAACAGAGGAAGGCTTTACAGTAATCGGAATTTGTCGAAAAAACTTAGGAATACGGCGTCAAGATTTTGAACCGAAATCTCACAGGCAAGTTTTATAACTATCTCTCTCTCTTTGACCTGTGTTCTTTACATACCTAATACAATTCCAAGACGAAATAAAGGTTAAATTAATCTGGTTGTATGTTATTCGATTAAAAATAGTATGTGTTCTTGAATTTGTATTTTGCTTGTTTTTAAACTATCATGCATAATTCTTGTTCTAATTGATGTTAATTAATGAATATTGAATTTAAATAATTCTGGAACACACTGGGGCTTAGTATTAACCAGTAGGAAACTTGGATTGGAGGAACAGAGTAGCCGAACACCACCAGAGTTAAAGAAGACGATGGAACAGGGGGAGAGCCAGCTCCCTTTTGAAGGGAGCAGTCTCCCTTAAGCAAAGAGCAGGCTCCCCTTTGTGGGGAGTCGGCTCCATGATGTTTGGAGGCAGCTCCCTCTTTGAGGGAACCGACTCCTTCGTCGGTTTTCAAGTTTTTTTGGTTTTCTACGAGACCTGGGCTACTGTGCTTGGATTTTTGAAGTTCCAGGTTGAAATAGGAGCTATTCTGGGGGTGTTTAGTAATGTCTAAACCCTTATTAAAATTTCAAAAGGCATGGTAATACATAATATACCATAGGAAGTTAATATAAGGAATAGTATGAAACTCTTAAGAAAGTTTGTATGTTGGCTTTGATGCGGATGATTCAAGTTGCTTATTTTTAAATTAGCAATTGACTTAGGGATTTTATGGTTTAAATCATGTTGCAGTAGCATAAAAATAAGCATGTCAATTTATATAATTTCTGTTATGCTTAATAGGAAATTAGTTGATATCTACAAATTATTGTCTATTATCAACTTACTAGATATTGTGGTGTAGTTTCAACTAGGCATGTTAATTCTGATATTATTATTATTATGCTTATCGTGGATTAAAGGATGGCTACACCTTTTCTCTGCATTTTAAATTATTAGAGAATCATGTATCAGTAGTATAGGACAAGCATGTTATTTACATATTCTTGTTATACTTGTTATGGATTAGTTGATATTGATATTTATATTGTCATCTGTGTTATCAACTACTGGATTGATGGATTATATGCACCGGTATGAGACGGTGGCATACTAAGGAGATTAGCTCAAAAACGCTAAGTTCTACCTACTCTGGGATTAAAGAATGGATTAACTATAAAGTTAAGTCCTATTGATTTATCGTGTCAAGGCAACGAATAGTTGAGCGGCACTGCTATGGTTTCTGGATGGATTTTAAATATGTATAATTATGGTACCTCGATATGAGCGTGAGTCTCAGGATCGACGGTTAGGGAGCGTATATCCATTGGGATACATAATGGTTGGAGGTGTACCCTGTTAGGTCTAGGTACTCATGCCCACTTCAAGTGCATTTTGCATGTTGCCTACTAGTCAGGTTGAGACCGGCTTGTAGTCCAGTGAGAGTCCTTTAGTGTGGATATATATATATATATATAGACTATATAGTTATTGCTGAATTGGTTAGGATGTATATGCGTATCGGGTCTCTGCTTAGATTGTAGTAGTATAGAACTTGCGCGTGGGCCTGACCCACTCTTATTTTTCAGGTATCAGGTGGTTCCAGTCTTAGAGTGTGATCGAGCTGAGCAGAGACAGTCACACATTCTTCTTATTATGTAGGACTGCTTCTTTTACTTCAGTTTTACTTTTGGATTTTATTCCAATAGTTTTCATTTCAGTTTGAGTTTTTATTAAGGGTCCACTAGAGATAGATTCCCGAGTTGTTTAATTATTAGAGGATATTTATAGAGGTTTTGGATTATTGGATTTATGTCATTTAATTTTAAGGATTTTTTTTAGATATCTTTCCGGCTTTATTAATTATTTATTATTCCATTTTGTA